ATTGGATTGAAGAGATTTGGTATGAATTTCATTCCAATTCGATATTTGGTTTGAAAGATTTTCTGAATTTGAAATCTCACAAATATAGGATTTTGAAATCCATAGGGGTGATTGGCATTGGTATTTCATAGAATTCGTATATAATAATGTTTTAAAATATGTTAAAACATTTGTTTCATGATACTCAATTAATAAAAAACAAACTTTATTGTTTTTATAGTTATATACAATTTACTTTTACAAATTATTTATACAGTATGAAATTCAGTTCTATTCCAACTCGTACAAAACAAACCAAAAATTCTAAATCCAAATCCCTCCGATTCTAATTATTTATTTACATGCGTAAGATTTCAGTACATCAAAACATATCGAATGCAACAATTTACTAGGTAAGCGCTTACCTGAGTAAGAGTCGCCATCATCACTTACAGGGTAAGACTCTCCATCTTTCGCATCGCTCTTACCCGTTAAGATTCTTGACCGTTCTCATGTTTATCCGATAAGGAAATTTATGCATTAAACACTTACCAAGTAAGTGTTTAGTAAAACGGCCCCTTAGGCATGCAACGTCTTACCAAGTGGTTGACTTAAAATCCGACGTACATAAGGATTCCAATACCCAACAGAAATATAACTTTCTCAATGCAGTTGTCATACTCTCGAATCCTCCCTGTGTATGCAAATATATCATCCTATAATCAACTGTGTTGCACATGAAAAACAACATAATGCATGTTTCGGTTGGTGATTTCGACCAAAATCGGACCAAGGTAAGCATTGCATTTGTAGTACCATTTTTATTCACAAAATTAGAAATAATATATCACTGCATTTTTTTTTTCCATTTACATACCCCAATAAATATTTTAGTTATGATATTATATTAATTATATGATCCTTTATTTATTCAGTTGATTTCACCTCAACTATCATAACAATTTAAAATATGATATTTTCTGGGTTAGACTGTTTTTTATATTTCAGATTGATTATTTGTGATAATTAAGTTGATCAATACTATAATAAAAGTGATTTAGTTAATATGTCGGGTTAATTGCATAAAAATGTCATACATTTTATAATTATGAGAGGTATGGCCTAAAACCACCACCATCCCTACACCTTACTTGAGTGTAAGACTTTCCAAACACCATCCCTCTCCTTTTAAGACCATCCCTTGTCAACCTACATTATGTCCAACATAAAATAATGTCTGATTTTTATTTAATCAAACTAAATCAATACAAATCATAAATAGTGATTAAACATTTTAATTATTGAAACTCCTTATTTAGATAAGTTCAAAGCGTGTGACCTAATGGGTACTCGATATGTTGGTAATAAATACAAATCTCCTATTTATATTTATAGACAATAAGCGGCATCTAGCAATATATCATCGCCACCCAAATAACGAGAATCTGTGATACAACAAAAGTAGCGGTTTGTAGTCAATTTTAGTTTACACATTTAAGTCATTTGTCCTCAGTGTCCAGATTGAACACGAGACATTGAATGTGTCAGTCTCGTTATGTCCAATCTCTAGTTTCTTGATTCCCTAATATACTGATAAAACAGATCATGATATCTTATATCAATTATCTGAGCAAGCACGGATTTCCTTAGTATATATTTATCAAGGGGTCCAGAGATATCACTCCCGTCGTAGAGGAAAGACAAATCCTATCTTGATACATGTTAGTTCTACCATGTGATATATAAAATACCCAACAATATTCTGTCACACAGTTACAGAATGATTAAAATAAATGTTAAAATATGTCACTCCCATATAGCAGACTCCGTGTTCTCAATTCAAAGAATTACATGTACATTGACCCATATGCAGATTCAGTATCTCTATATGAATCCTTATATATGATAGTTATTATCCTATTATTTCAATCTTAAACCTGAAATAATATTTAAACAGAGACATTTAAAATACATTATTCTAAGGTCATTTATTATGAATACCTAAAATACATAATATAACATAAACATAATAAAATAGGCAATGCCTTTTATTAATTTATTAATTTTATGAAACAAACTAAAAATTACAATCATCATATGAGTGATTTTTGGATATTCACTAACAATCTCCCAGTTGCATTAAGGCCAATCATTCATGCATCGTATATCTATGGATCTATGTTGATCCTCTCTCTCATTGATTTGTTGATAATCCCTTTTTCCTTTCGATGTATTTATGTATCTGTAATTTCAGTTCCAGCGATCATACACTGAGCTTGTTCAGT